AATGATTGTGACCTTGGTCATTTGTAGTTAGTCTCCTCTGCCTGTAATTCCACATTGCTGGAGATGTCTGCAATATTGCATCAGGAACAGATAAACAGTTTCTGAAACAAAACCCCTCATTTCCATTTTTCACAATTATTTTGCCACTGAGTAGGCTGTAATTTCTTACAAACATTGACATTAATTATTATAAAATGTCTTGAGATTTGTCTTGGCTCTGTAATTGCATATTATTTCTACAATGAGTTCTGGATTTTGAAAGGAACACGATCCTCTAGAGTATTTTCATCTCTAGTATAACAACTAGGCCTGATATTTAAGCCTCAGAAAGGTTTTCTGTAGTAGAAGGATGAGCTATTTGGCATCTTCATTGCTTGTTTGTTTGTTTTTGCTTTCTGGGCTTCTGCCACAAGATTAACTGTTGAGCTATGAGCCTTTCTGGCTGGCTCAGGTATAAAGGAGCTTTTATCTGAATCAAGACTGGACAAATCCAGTTTGCTCAAAATAAAGCCATTCCTCCTTTGGTTGCACTCTTTGTTAACTTATTTGCACCATTCCATTGCTTTGTTTGCAAGTAAAGTATAGATTTTTGGTCATTTGGGAAAATTTATGGCCTATTTACTAATGGACAAACCCTACTACACTAGTGAGATTTCTGTATACCAGTGATTCTCAACCCTCGGGTCATGGGCTACTTCAGCCCATGAGAAATCCTCAGTGCCATATAGGTAGTATGTGTGGTATGTATGCAGCCAGCATAACACATAGAGGAGGTACATATATTCCCCACAGTGGAAAATAGGTTGAGAACCACTACTCTATGCAGTGGGGCAGGATTTGGGAAACCCCCAGGAAACATCACCAAGGCTTCTGTGAATTTGCCTGGGATGCAAGATTTGGAATAGGAACACTGAGATACTGTGAAGATCCATTTCCCATATTCTTACCATGGAGTATACACTCAGAGGTGTTATGAGCTACTGAAGCACTGGCCACACCCTGTGGTAGGGGAGAGAAGATTCCTGTCCATCTTAGTGTTTAGTATACTGTTCCTGGAACCATGGCATAGCATCGTTCCTCCCTCTGTCTTAGAAACCTTCATCCCACCAATTCCCTTGATGACTTGATCTAGTTGAGCCTGTTGTTGTAGATAGGTAGGGCCCTACCAAATTCCCTTTTTGGCCTTCTTACTAGGCTATGCAAAATGTGTTATGGGCTATGAAATCTGGTGTCCTCCTGTGAAATCTGGCCTTTTATGCTGTTACCCTGTACTATTCAGATTTCATGGGGGATGCCAGCCATTCTCAAACTGGGGGGGGTCCTGACCCAAAAGGGTATTGCAGGAGGGTCACCAGGTTATTTTAGGAGGGTCATGGTATTTCCACTCTTACTCCCGTGCCACCCTTACTTACTTAGTTGGACAACTGGAGAATGGTGGTTGTAATGCTGGCCATGTGTCCAGCACTATCCTAGCAGCTGCCCAGAAGTAAAGGTGTCAATACCATACCCATGTTGTCCTCACCTCTGTACTGCTGCTTTCCGAGCTGAGTAGCCAGTGTCAGCTGCCAACTAACAGCCTAGCTGTGCGGGCACCAGTGCATAAGTAAGGGTGGCCCAACCATCCTCACTTCTGCACTGCTGCTGGTGGTAGCTCTGCCTTCAAAGCTGAATTCCTGGCCAGCAGCCACCATTCTCCATCTGTCCAGCTGTGAAAGCAATGCTGCTGCCTGCAGCTACACAGAAGTAAAGGTAGCAATACCACAACCCCTATACAATAAACTTGTGATCTGTGACACAACTCCTTTGTGGGTGAGGACCTGCACAATTACAGCACCATAATATTTCAGATTTAAATATCTGAAATATTGAAATTTGCCAATTTTAAAATCCTAGGAGCGTGAAATTGACCAAAATAGACTGTAAATTGAGTAGCACTCTATAGATAGAGATGCCTAGGATTTACTCCTTAGAGACTTGTATTACTTACACATTAAAATTCTCCTCTCAAGAACAACATAATCTATTCTCTCCAGCCTGAAACTTTTAATCTGTTGGTGGGACAGCTTCATGTGGATACTGATACCCTTGAAAGATGTCTTATCAAATGATTACAATAATGGTTTTCTCCACTAACCAATTGGTGACTTTGGCTATGTTTACATGACGAGTTTTCTCAGCAAAAAATATGCTAATGAGGGACTCATTTGCAAGAGTCGCAATATCATTTGCATATTTTCTGCCAATCTGTTTTTGCGCTAGGGTTTTTGCACAGAAACAAGCAGTGTGGACATTTTCCTTTTGTGCAAAAACCCCTTTTCCCACAAGATCCTTTACTGATCAGTAGAAAATATGCAAATGATATTGCGACTCTTGCAAATGAGTCCCTCATTAGCATATTTTTTGCCAAGAAAACTCGTAGTGTAGACGTAGCCTTTGAGACCGCACTAGACTGAGGACTCAAACTTTTCCCACAATGCTGATAACTCTGTAAAATGAGTACCTAGGATAAAATATTGGATCCACTGAAAGGAATGACAAAACTTCCACTGATTTCAGTGGGGTCAGGATTTCACACCCAGTCTGAGCACAGATTAAATGACATCTGATTTTACTCCCTTAATCCCTTGATATGCAGATGAAACAAGATACCTCTTTTTCAAGCATTTGCTCAAAACCTGGAATTTGGTTCTTCTGGTTAAACAACATAAGTCTTACCCTAAAGAGCTCCATAGCCAAGAAATGAATGGGCATGGAAAATGAACTACCCTTTGGCCCATTGGTGTTGTAACAAAACTACAACCACACAGTATGGGGAAGCTTGAGCCATGCCATTACTTGTACTGGACTTGTTCTGTGGGTAGCTTTTTATGTACCATGTTCTGGATACTACAATGAAAGAATTCCATGTTTCAAAAATAAAACTGGCTCTTTATTAAAAGAACTATTTACAGAGATTGTGCAGCAATAGCTAGCATTTCAGTCATATGTACACAGACTGACTTCTTTTGCCTACTACTGACTTTTCCCCTCCGCAACCTGTACTCCTTATTCCAGGCATGTCCAAAGTCCGGCCCGCGGGCCAAATGCGGCCCGCGGTCGGATTTAATACGGCCCCCCGCTTCTCCCGGCTCCCCGGTGCTTTTTTTAACTGGTGCTGCCGCCGCCGCCGCGGTCCCAAACCCTGCCCCTGCACTCCGCTTTGGGGCTGAGAGTGCAGGGACAGCCCCCGCTTCCTCCCCCTCTCCTGGCTCCCCGGCGCTCCTCTGACTGGCGCCGCTTCCGGCCGTGCCGCCGCCGTCCATGGCGGCCGCTGCGGAACAGGCGTGTCCAAAGTCCGGCCCGTGTTCCGGTTTAATATGGCCCCACGGGTAATTTGGCAATATCTATCTTTTATGGCCCCCAACGAATCCATATGTATTGAGATGAATACATTGTAAAATCTCAGTTAAAGTCAGTTGGTCTAAATCAGTTATAAATATATTTGGACACAACATGTATACTTGGTGTTATGTTCCTGTTCATATTTTTTGAACTTAAAAGTTGACAGACAACCTTTATTACCAATAATATGTAATGTACTTTACAATGTTCCTGACATATATTTCAGCTTCCTGGATTTTTTTTTTCATCTGGCCTTCAGATATGAAAGGCAGAGTGATTTAACACCTGTTTAGATTTGTCATCCATGTGACGAAATGAAAAGTATGCTGTTTGCAATAAACTTTGCATAAAATAGTTAATTTGCATTTAATTTTAATGGTTCAAAGAATGTCAGGCAAAATGGTCGGCCCTCACGCATGTTCACTTCATCAAATCTGGCCCTCTTTGAAAAAAGTTTGGACACCCCTGCCTTATTCCAAGTTCCATGCTGATTTCCCAAAACAGGCAAGCAATCTTAAATTCCAGGACTCTTCATCCAACACCTGGCATAAGACCTGTACTCACATAACTTTTTAAAGTTTTTAAGTTAAAATAAAACTTGAGCATGATTATGCAAATTTAGTGAGTGATAATATTAAAACAGATGCCCTTAACCTATTCAGAAGCATTGGAACTGTCATGTCATTGGATTTGTCATGAAGCATCTCTTTCATCCTGACACATTTCTTTCAAAATATCACTGAACAGGGCTTCTCAGTACTTCCATTTTCAATACTATTTGTATTCTCAATAACAGACCGTGCTGTTGCTCATGCTGAAAAGTCCCAAATAATTGTAATCACATTGTTATGATCAGTCTGGATACAAATAACAAAAAATATTTCATCCAATAATTTTTTTCCTTTCAGTTCATTTTTCTTTCATATTATGTTAGCCAAGTTTGTAACTGTTTTGGCAGAGAAAGTACATGACAGAGGTAATTTTTGAGAGTCTTTTATAAGAAACATTCTAGAACATAGAGTAACCTTGATTTATATTTTAAGGTTAACAGGGCATGTTTAAATCACATTAAAATTGACTTTGGGTATAGGATAATAAAACAGCAACTGACTGCTTTGGCAAAGAGAAAATTACTGCTGTCTAAAGGAAAAATGACATTGGTATTTGGTTAAATAGAAAATAAGTCCTTTCTTTGTCATCAACTCTCATTAACTGCGGCTATAACAATAATATAAGGCATAAAGTAATGAGTTCCAGCAGCCTTGAGTTGCTTCATGATCCATGTGATGATTTTGGTTGATTGTTAGTATTTAAAAGGCAACCAGATCCCATGCTGATGGGAACTTAAGAAGTTTGTATACATATCAAATATACAAAGGGAGATAAAAATGTTATTTTCTGCACTTTATTTCAAGGAAAATTTATTACAGTGCTAGGCCATATGATTGCTTTTAGAAATGTTTTTATTCTAATTCATCTGTCTTTTGGAATAAATGCTTACATATATCTTACAGACCCTCAAAGGCTAAAGGCTTTCTTTAGGAAATGATAAAAAAAAAGTAAGAAATAGGACTTGAATAAATATTCCAATAACAGTTCATTTTATTATTCCCTTACAGCAGTGAGTGAAGGACCAGTCCCACAACAGCCATCCATGCTACCACAGACTCAGCCTGAACATGCCAGCAATGAGGATGCCCCAAGCAGAACGATCCCCACAGCCTGTGTCCGGCCTACGCACCCTCTCCGCAGCTTTGCCAACCCCTTGCTACCTCCACCAATGAGTGCAATAGAACCGAAAGTCCCTTATACACCACTTTTGTCTCAAGCAGGTAATAATTAAGGAAAGAATTGCTGATAATATGTAGTAGCCACCAATGTGCAGAATTCTAGCAGAAGTGCCGGGGTTATCTGTCTCAGGTACATATGTGCCACTGCCCTCAGAATAATATGTAAAATGGGGAAGTGAGACACAGAGGGTATGTCTACACTATCCCGCTAGTTCGAACTAGCGGGGTAATGTAGGCATACCGCAATTGCAAATGAAGCCCGGGATTTGAATTTCCTGGGCTTCATTTGCATAAGCGGGGCGCCGCCATTTTTAAATCCCCGCTCGTTCGAACCCCGTGCCGCGTGGCTACACGCGGCACGAACTAGGTAGTTCGAACTAGGAAGCCTAGTTCGAACTACCTAGTTCGTGCCGCGTGTAGCCACGCGGCACGGGGTTCGAACGAGCGGGGATTTAAAAATGGCGGCGCCCCGCTTATGCAAATGAAGCCCAGGAAATTCAAATCCCGGGCTTCATTTGCAATTGCGGTATGCCTACATTACCCCGCTAGTTCGAACTAGCGGGATAGTGTAGACATACCCAGAGAGACTAAGGGCCAAATATTTGAAGGTATTGAAATATATTCAAATATATATTGGAAGAAAATAAGGTGATAGGTAACAGCCAGCATGGATTTGTAAAGAACAAATCATGTCAAACCAATCTGATAGCTTTCTTTGATAGGATAACAAGTCTTGTGGATAAGGGAAAAGCAGTGGACTTGGTAAACCTAGATTTTAGTAAGGCATTTGATATGGTCTTGCATGACTTTCTTATCAATTAACTAGGCAAATACAAGTTAGATGGGCCTACTATAAGGTGGGTGCATAACTGTCTGGATAATCATTCTCAGAAAGTAATTATTAACAGTTCACAGTCATGCTGGAAAGTCATAACAAGTGGGATTCCCCAAGGGTCTGTTTTGGGAATGGTTGTGTTAAATATTTTCATCAATGATTTAGATGATGGTATAGAGTATATTTTTCAAGTTTGCAGATGATACCAAGATAGGAGGGGTTGCAACTACTTTAGAGGATAGGGTCATAATTCCAAATGATCTGGACAAATTGGAGAAATGATCTGAGGTAAATAGGATGAAGTTTAATAAGGACAAATGCAAAGTACTCCACTTAGGAAGGAACAATCCATTTCACACATATAGAATGGGAAGTGACTGTCTAGAAAGAGGAGCTGCTTCTCCATTCTTAGGGCATGTCTACACTACCACCCTAGTTCAAACAAGGGTGGTAATGTAGTCAACTGGAGTTGCAAATGAAGCCCGGGATTTGAATTTCCCGGGCTTCATTTGCATCTTGCCGGGTGCCGCCATTTTTAATGTCCACTAGTTTGGACTCCGTGCTGTGTTTAGCTGCGCAGCACAGAGTCCGCGCTAGTGGACATTTAAAAATAGTGGTAGTGTAGATGCTCAGTTGCTGCTATTTTGAAATAGCTACCCCCCAGAGTAATTCAAACTAATTATTCCCCAGTGCTTCCAGGGGCTCTAAGTCAAGTAGCATGTCCACTTTAACAAAGCCTGCCCCAGATTAATTTTGTGGCTTCCCCGTAGTGTGGAAATTTCAAAATGATTATTTCAGGAGTTATTATTTCAAATAAGTTATTTCAAAATAATTTCCTAGTGTAGATATGCCTTAAGTGACATCCTAGAGAGAACTGTAGAATTAGAAGGTCAACCCTTACCTATATTTTGACTTTCTTGAACGTTGCAATCCTCTGCATATAAAATTCCCCATCCTCCACAAGGATGCACTCACTTGCAAAAAAAAAAAAAATGCGACGTTTTAACTGTTAGAAAGAAAATATATCTTGTACCTTATGTCCTGTATCTAAGGAAGTTTTTGTGTTAGTTCTTTAGAATGAAAAAAGAATTCATACCATTTTATGATAATATTCCAATAATTAATTATGACTTTCTAGAATAAGAATTAAAAATAAGGCAATAATTTAAAATTAGAGTTAACTAACAAGGGAAGAAAAATAAATAAATCAGGAGCCAAACGAATCAATTGTTCTTATTTTAAATTTCACATGTCCTACAATAAATTAAACCAATGCCAAATGTCTGGCACTTGATTAAAGGTTTACTTTCTTGATAACAAAGGGTTTATACAGCCTCTCCTCGAGTTACAAACGAATTACAGACCAAACAATTGGCTGTAACTCGAAATGTTTGTAACTTGGATCCCATTGAGTTACATTGTGACTGCCCTGTTCTTAAGCACGGGTTGCATTCGTAACTCGGGCACCGTCTTTACGACCACTCAATGGGAGTTTTGGTCGTAAATGCGAATGGTCATAAATCGACAGTTCGCAACTCGGGGACTGGCTGTATATATTTGCCAGAGAATCTGCCTGGAATCTAACCCTGACAGTAAAATTGTTAAAAATCAAAATCAAATATTCCAAGGAATGGGAAGAAATAGAAAACAATTACAAGAAAAAACACTAGGCGATGAGAAAGAGGCTTGTAAGGACCTTCTTTAAATTCTTTCATTGCCTTACCATGTGTTCAGGTGCAAAGGGGTAAGTTTGCACTTCTAAAGATAAGCAAATACTTGTTTTTGGTTCTGTTGGTGGTTCTGAAAAACAGGGAGAGGGATTTCAGTCCAGATCAAACCAAACCCAGAAATGCCAAAAATGTTGGCAAATTGCAATATTTTCTTTCAGACCATATAAAACATGTTTGACCCAAAACATTTTGTTTTCAGGTATTTAAAAAGTGGTCAAAAGCAGAGTGGACCTCCCTGGAGCTCATAGCCCAGTGATTAATTTATTTTCATGGGATTAGGAGAGCTACATTTGAATCCCTGCTGCACTTCCGCAGACATTTGAACCCAGATTTCACCCTATCCCAGGATATGGGGATTCATCTCTGTCTTTCCAGTTGAAGCGCCTCCCCTGAATTCTGAATAGTCATTTGACAGGAGAGAGGGAGCAGCACTACAGAAATATTAGTTTGGTGTTTAGGCTGCTTATTCAGGTGAAGGAGATTCAAGCTCAAGTCCCTGCTCCAATGATTATTTGTACCAAATAGAACAGCTGTCACAGACTGAGAGCAAGCCCATCCCAAAATAAACAATGTCCTAGTTCAAATTTGTAAATAGTTCCTTGTTGACTTGAAATGCATGTGCTAGCACATACATAAGTTGTCAACCAAATAACCAGGTCAACCTGCCACCCCGGCATCACTAGCAATTGGTAGAGTCTTATGTCCATCCTCCACAATGCACTAGTGGAGATTTCATAGGGGAAGTAATTGTTTGCTGCTAGTATGCACCTCTCCCAAAGAATGATTCCTTTCTTGGGATGATCCTAAGCAAGCACAACTGCATGTCATTCAATATTCTGGACATTTATTTCACATCTCTTCTATACTATATTAAATGCAATAAAATGAGAAATGTTTTATTATATAAACCTAACATTATTTGTATTTTGCACATCATCAGAGCCTAGTCCAAAAATGAATGATTTTTACATGAGTTGAGTTTTTGGTGTCAACAACACTATATGGTAAATAAGGACTACTTCTGTGAATGAGGTTTGAAGTATAGGACCCAATTTTGATAATTCACATTATGTAATTTGGAGGTTTGCTAAATTTGACAGAATTACCTCCAGTTCAGAAATGTCAGGCCTACTGAATTGTGTTCTGTTTTCTGATGTTGCTTTCTAAACATAGTGTTCTTGCCAAGCAACATATGTTACTTAACTGTGATTACAAGACTAGCAAAAGCACCATATTTTTTACAATGAACACCTGCTATCTATCATTAGGTAATTCTGTTTTTTACAGCAGATGTAAACAGAGATACCTTACAATGTTGGAAAGTCTTTTATTTTTTTGCCAACTATCAGACCTGAATTATATTTTTATATATGATAGGGTCTGCTCATCATTAGACACAGGTTAAATTTCTCTTATCAGCACTCTCTGATGTGGCAACATCCATGATTTTAATTAGTCAGATGTCCACTTATCGTGGGTGTGCCCAAGTTTCCCATGGTCCCATAAAGTTTGTTTTCAGCCACCAGTCCTGTCTCTCAGTGTTCTATGCTGTTATTTAGTTGTAATTTACTTCTAAGGGTCCAGTAAGCAGTAGAAGTGTTGGTAATGCTGCTAGACAACATTGACCTCCCATGGTTCAGCAAATTCCCAGTTTGGCACCAGTCAGGTCCCTAGGGTACCAATTAGAGATTCAACCTGTAATACCACAAATTTATAAAGCCTACTGACCTTAGTATGTGAATGAGCCTACTTACTTCAGTAGAATTACTGGCATAAGTAAGGCTCTACTCTAGGGGGCAATGTTGTAATAAGGTATGCAATTCTAGCTAAGTAAATAGCATAGCTGAAGTCGAGATACCTTAGTTTGAGTTACTGCAGAGTCTCCACTGGGGTTGGGGAGCATTGAGGGGAGAAACTCTCCTGTTGGCTCCCCTTACTCTTCTCAATCCAGTGGATTACCATAATTGACAGGAGCATAATCAGTGGTCAGTTTAGAGGGACTAATTAAATCCCACTAGACCTGCTAAATTGATCCCCTGGGATTCTCACAGTACTAAGGCTATTCAAGTTTTCACATTTAATCTTCATGATTTGGAGAAGGAGGAAAAGCATGTTTTCCATCTCCTGATAAGTTTAGTGATCACCATTAAAATTGCCATTTGCCTCAGAATTTGCTGTGTTCTCTACACTTTATAGCATGTGTTGTTATATATATAATAAATAATATTAATTGTGACCACTGGATCCACATTGAAGAGAAGGTAGCTGTCATGTATCAGGTCACATGTGGAGATATACTGACTTATTTCCTGATAACTGTATGAAGCTGAGGATAAGTAGGGTTTTTGGATAGGCAATTCCTCCTTTATCCCCATTGACAGAACAACTCAGAACAAATCCATGTGAGCATATTCACAGAGAAACCCTTCTTTGAATCCCCTTTGTTTTTACTGTAGGTGAGTGGGGTGGGGGATATT